TAAAACCCTGGCCATCGATCAGAGAGACCTCATACTCATAGCTAGGACTGGCTGGGGGAAGTCAATGATATTCCAATCAGTTCCTGCACTTAGAACGGGCGGAATCGCCCTTCTGATCATGCCTTTAAACCTGCTAGAGGAGGACCAGGTGGGTTGAACAGCCAGCGTTGAAATTGATTAGCATGCTCCATACCCAGTTGGAGCTATCACAGGTGGTTCATGCAATCTGACATGTCCTAGGCAGCGTCAATCAAGAAAATATCTGGCTGTGTTCCATGTATTCTCAACAGCAAATCGAACAACGCTCATGTGCGCCAGCGGATAATGAATGGAGAATTCACGCACAGTAAGCTGCATCCAGCTGCCGTGGCACAACGACCCACTAACGGGAGGATTCTAGTTCTTTTGGGGCCTGAGATTGCTCTCTCAGATAAATTCGCGGAGCTGTTACGGCATAGGGAGTTTCATCAGCGCTTAGTCTTAGTTGCCATCGATGAACTGCACGTCGTTCAGCAGTGGGGTGGCGATTGGCGAAAACACTACTCTCGGATTGGCGTCCTTAGACATCGTATCGATAAAAGAGTGCCATGGTTTGGGACCTCTGCCACCCTTGACCCGACCATGCTTCAAGATGTCATACAATTGGCGGGTTTTCAGGACGAAGTCGAGGTAATGAAAACAACGATCGACCGACCAGATATCTCATTATCCATTCGTCGGATTGAGCACAGCATTGCTAGTTTCCATGATCTCAGTTTTCTCTTAGACGAAGCAGTGACTGCCCCAGGGCAGGTCAGCATGAGTCAAATCCCAAAGACGATCGTGTACATGGATTCAATCGCCCAGATCGAGGCCGCAGAGTTTCAAATGATCGAATGGCTCGTGAGGTTGGGTAGCCAGAGAGCCTTGGCAAGCGCCGCTATTCAAGCCTATCACTCTCAGTTGGCTGACTTCGACAAGCGCAGAATATCTGAGGATTTTTGCCGTCCCGACCGAGGCCAGGGCGGTCCCGCCATCCACCGCATCATACTAGCCACAGACGCAATGGGAATGGGAATCGACAACCCTGATATCCGCCGCGTCATACAATGGAAACAGCCCTCCTCAATGTGCACACTATTTCAGAGAGCAGGGAGAGCTGCAAGAGGAAGTGGATATATGGGTGACTTCCTTTGGTTGGTGGACTCCTGGTGCTTCGAACCGATGGAAAACCAAGCTGATGCATCCCGAAGAGCAAAATTGGAGAGGGTGCGCAGAGCACAACTCGATCCTGGCCTGCGGGAGTTGATAAACACGCGTGGCTGCATTAGAAAATGCGCTCTAAATTTCTTCGGGGAGTCAATGACGGATTGCCAACGACCTGGACCGCTGGCCTGCTGTACTGGTTGCAGTCAAGTTGACATCCTCCCTAGGCCTCGAAAGCAAGAGCAACAGCTCCGTAAATCGAAAGTCCCTAACTGGGCAAGACTAAGGGCTCGCACGGACTTGATTCAGTGGCGCAAGACAAGGGCAGCGCAGCTCTTCCATGCAAGCTTCTTCCAAGATGAGGACGCTCATGAGGCGCTAATGCCCACGCACTTGCTGGATAACCTGGCAAGAGACGGATACCACATCCATACAATTAATGATCTTCGAGACCGTATTGGGGGAAGTGGATTTGGTTGGAGAGATTTGGAGGGGAGGTCGTCAAGACCATCAGGGCAGCTGGGGTTACCAAGGGGGTCGACATCAGAGCCATTGCAGCTGCTCGTGCAGCTAAAACAAGAGACGAGAGACAAGCCCTTCAACAGCTCGATGCAAACAGGGCATTCCGTCCGTATCGAGGTCAGCCACCGATTACGCCAAGTCAAAAAAGGCAAAAAAGGCAGATAGGATAGATTCATCCCGTGTCCTCCAACGCGAAGAAATCTACGGGTAGATCACCTGTGTGGGATTCCTCGAGCTCCTCGCTCTCCATGCCATACCCTCGGAGTTCTCTTGAATTAAACCTTTCCATTGTCTCACCAGCCAGTTTGGCAACACCTAGTCGCACAAGATCCGGAGCAACAAACTTGGTAGTTCGATCGTTTTTATATGCCAACGAACCTTGGCGGACCAGTCTCTCTGCCATGATAGTGAGATCATACGTTGCCGACTTCACCGTGTGCTCCGGGTTAACGTGTACGTTAAAAATGCGCTCGATCTCGGAGCGGAGTAGACGGAAGAACGATGAGTTAAGGGAGCAATACTCAAAGAGATAGTCGAGATGGATAGTGGATCCTCGTTTCGCCTTAAAAATCTCCTTCATATCCCCAATATGGAACTCCATCATCCGATCAGTTTCAAACCACGAGTCCTGATGGCCGCGCAAGTTAATGAGGCTATTCGCGAGAATGGCCCGTTGCAGCGCTGGAGTTGCAGATGTGGTCAATAGCTTTTGAAAGTACAGCATCTCATTGGCATACTTGCGTTGATTGGTCCCGGCGAACAGAACACAGGCTCGATCGACCGCTCTCCGTAGAAGACCAATGTCTGCGTATTTGATGGCGTACTTGAGCAACAGGTAGTTGAGTGTATGCTGCAGGAAAAGGCAGTGGTTCTGTAACTCTTGGCCCCCGCGGGTAGCCTGGTGGAAATATACCACACGGATGCGCTCGATTAGGGAGAGGAAATTCTCTGGGCTGTGTAGGCGTGTAATTCGATCAATATCCTCGTAAGATTTCCCTAGTCCGGTATTCGCGAGAAGTAACCAGTACACAGCGGCCACTCGGGCTTCGAAGCTGTGGATTACCAGCTCTTCCAATGCGAAGAAATCCGATTTTGCTTTGCTGATTTTCTTACGCCTCCAAAAGTTAGCGGCATCATGCAAGGTGGATGGATCGCCCCCAGTGCCTCCGTAATGGCACGTTGATATCATGTACAAATAATTCATCTTCAGGTGGAAGAGGCCAGCGACCGGTAGGACCCACTGGAGATTGTCATAAGGTCGAGAGGCACGTCGCCGAAGGCGCTTGCAGGATCGAATACGATCAACGGTTTTTTGATCACCATATACGAGGAAGAGCCGAGTGCGATAAAGCTCTGAGTCCTCGTCGATAGCGTACTGCTTCCGGAAAATATTGTCAAGTATCGATAGGTTTCCTTCATTTGTCGACTCGTCATGGAAAATGGGTCCAAGAGGGGAATGCTTCGTGATCCCAACGGGCAAGACGTCAAGTTTTGGCATGTTGGGAAATGCCGCCGTCGAAGGAGAAAATATTGCTTCAATTGCTTGAGGAAAGACCCCTTTCACAGCTTTAGCAATGAAAAACCGGACAATCTACCACGCTAGGTTAAAAGGGAATACTTACCATACGAGTCAATCATACCTGGCGCTGAATTTCGTCATCTGAATTGCCCGGTGCTAGGAGCACACTTTCCGGTTCCAGGCGGACATTTCGATCAAGCATGGTCTGCTTCAATCCTCCATCTGGCATTTCCCTTCCTTCAAAGACCTCCCCGGCGGTCACTGAGTGGAATGTACTGTTTCCTTCAACACGCTGCTCCCGGACGCCTTCCATTTGCTCAAAGTTATCGTAAACAGTAACAGAATTCTGAGACCTCCCAGCAGCAGTCACAGAAGCGATAGCTTCTCCAGAAAGAGACTTGATTACCCTCAGAATCGTACTATAGCTCACAGAGAGCCCATACTTCGCGAGCAGTTCGATGACTCGTCGCCGAACTCCATTGGCATGCAGGTGTATGGCAAGAAGAGTCTGCACGTTGCTGTGTCGATTGGATTGTGAATAACAGAGGATTGCGAGGATTATTATGTACCGAGACGAAAGCGAACTTATCTCGCTAGCACGCCGAGTTCCGCATGTTACACTATCCAACAATCCAATAAATCTCGGAGCATGCTCATGAGCCGTATCGAGGAGTCCATGTAGCGAATCAGCACTAGCAATGGAGACAGCGAACTCGCCAAAGCCGGTCTGTTTTCCGAGCTCAACAATTTCTCGTCGATACTCTGGCATGCCCCAATTCACTGAGTCGAGTAGCATCTTGCGCAATTCCAGTTCTGATGAACGAGGATGAGCGAGGCAGAGGTCAATTACCTCCCTGCCATATGCAGCTTTCATATACCCAGTTTGTCGCTGGCGGTTCTTTAGGTCATTTTGCTGGCACAGGGTTCTGATCAAGTCGGATAGGGACCAGTTGAGTTCAGTACGAAGGAATGCGAACGTCTTGTCCAACTTTTCTGCCGGACTGAGACGGCTGCGATACTGCCTAGGTGTTGTATGAACGGGGCTGTCAGAAGGTTGCGACATTGTTGGATGAAGGGGTTGTTGTTCAAAATACATTACGAAATTGAGACCCACAGCAAAAGCGGTGCAATTGCGCTCAGGCCCTCCCCAGGCGAATTACCCGATTAGGTAATTACGGAACATGCTTGTTCCGATGCAGTGGAGGGCCTGAGGCACTGAGGCAACTACCGGAAATCAACTACCGATTCCCACGTGACTTGATGTGACGTGATTTACATGCATCACCTCTGCCACGCATCACGCCTGTGACGAAGTCAAAAAAACAGTCACACTCCGGAGACTGCCGCATAGCAATTGTATGGGTTATCATTTGTTCGACAGATAAACGCCTCGGACGCGCGCGCGAATAGCAGGCGCTTCGATGCCTGTCCGAAATTAGGTCCATTCAGCACGAGTATGAAGGGCGCGTACAAGAGGCTAATTATAGCGACCGACTCAAAGGAAGTTGTCTGGAATTTTACGTGTGACGTTGTGAGGCTTAGTAATCGTACAACTAGCCGCCGGCCCCCACCCCAGCCGACCTCGTGACATTCATAGCGGCCAGTGAACCATCATTGCTTGCGGTCTGGCCCTTGTTGGCGATTCATCCTGCCCCCAGCTGAGCCATCAGCAAGTGGTTTTGGTTGACTATAAAGGCTCTTTCATTCTCGGAACGGGCTGTTTCCCCCACCAATCTCCCACTCATACACCACTCATACACGTGTGAACAAAGTCATGGCTGAACCAATAGGCCTAGCCTCCGGATTGCTAGCGCTAGCAACTTTCGCCTTCCAGTGCAGCATCTCGCTATACGAAACGGTCAATAGTTTTCGTTCCCACCCGAAACGTGTCCGTGATCTTCTTGAAGAACTTGAAGCCCTGAGTGCTGTGCTTGGCCCACTTGCCGACTTTGTCAAGGCAACAGCTGATATCGACCTGTCGCCGCTAGATCTTCCTCTTCTACGCTGCGGTAGTGCCTGCAAGGAGTTCCAACAGGAGATTCTCCGATGCTCGTCACGGTCAGATATGAGTCGGACGAACTTTCGGGACTGGGCCAGGCTAAAGTACATGGGTGACGACATAGACGGCTTCCGAAGATTACTGGCCGGGTACAAGGCTACAATCAATATTGCTCTCACTGATGCGAACCTGTAAGTGATACTACTCTTGCTGGATCCAGACGTGACTGTCGGTCATGCTTTCCATTCGCTCGATATTGTGTTGACTTACGTTTATCAGTCGCCAAACCTCTGTCAACACCGAAAGCCTAGAAGATTACAAGCGCCTTATTCAAGACGCCAAAGATGATCTTGAAGCTCGTCTGGAAGCTATAGATAGCAAATTGGAGTGCATCGTTGAGAAAAGCGTGGCGCAATCGGAACCAGAAGCAGCTGAACTGCAATCTATGAAGGAGGAGCGCCTGAGTACAGAGAAATGTCTCCAGATTTGTGCCCAGCTATCCGATCATATTGACCATATTCAGTTGATATCGGACGGAGGTGGTGCCTCTCATCGCCCAGATAGTCTGGACATTTCGCCCGAGACCGTTACTAATGAAGGCTTGCAAGAATGCAAAAACAGCTTGGCTGTGACAGCTGCTAGGCTAGAGAAACATATGCAAGATGTCATGAATCGACTACTCTCGCAATCAAAGACAACAACCTCTTCTAAAAAAGATGAACAAGACTTGGCAAGGCTACAGGATGAGTGGAATTCTGCTCGGCAGTGCTTGGACATCTGTTCTAGGGCGGATAATCATCTGAAAGAGAATGTCAGTGTGATCGAAAATTATGGTACAGGCGATGCCTTGCAATTCATGGTATCCACAAATGGCAAAATCCTGCACGGCAAAAACCGAGCTCATGGTTGGAGAACAAGACAAGTGGGAGGCTATTTGAGTGATGCCTCCGTCCAGCAGCTGTCAAGAGATATTTCAACCATCAACATGAGTCATCTGAAAGGTGGAGAACCTTCTTCGACAGACCACAGCACACTGGGTCCGCGTGATGAAGTGAAGGGCGAAATGACCACAGAATTTAAACAACGGTACGGACGAGGCTTCAAACTGAATCCGACAAGTTTCCCAGAAGCGTCTACTCCTTCGACGACATCAAGCCACTGAGGGGGTGGACAGGAACACTTACGAAATAAGTATGTTTCTTGGGGGATTGAGGCTTGTCTAATCTTTGTTTTCTTCCTTGGTTGTCGAATAAGACCTGTGCACATCTTGTCCTGTCTGTCTAGGATTTTGGGTGCGAGGATCGGGGTTTGATAACCAGATCATTTACCTTGATAAGCTTTCATTGGTGTTCTAATATTGTAGAAAACCTGCATCTAAGCCGTAACTCTCTTGCAAGTGATTCAATTCTCGAGTTGGAAGGCCCACGTCAAGCTTGTCGGGAGTTTAGGCTCGGGAATTAATCTGTGGACGGAGTGATCAAAGGATGCGTTCTCCATGACTAGCACAGATTTAGGCTCGGGCCGTTTCCCACAATGCCTTACAATCTGCGCAATGAAATCCTCAACGACGGACGCATCGATTGGGCCCTGGAATACTCGAGACAGAACAATACCATCTTGGGCGTAGGCAGGCAGTATCTAATATTGCTTATCACAATGGAATTGAAATACTTGTACTAGTGCCATACCTAATTGGGACCAGCCTGTTCGCCTAAAGCCTATCCTTTTACCACATCCAGACTCATCCACTTTAACAAGGTGATAAGACTGGCAATCCGTGATAAAGTGAAGATATTCGTCGTGGAGGTCTAAATTGCGCTCTCTGGCCTTACTCGGGCGGTATTTTTTAGGCCAGCCTTTGGGCGCAAGAGCGCGGCTAATGCTTGATTTCGTTGCTTAGATAGCCAATTCGTCCCAAAAAATAGCCATTTCGCTAAGGTAAAGGGTCGGCTCTTCGAGTAGATAGTCGCACAAAGCCTCGAGAATGACGGGAGTGATGATGCTACGGGGTCGTCCACCTTGATTAGGCGGTGCTTTAATGCTGCCAAACATCCGTATATTAGAGAGATTCTCAAGATAGTACTCCTATTGCGGCCAGCAGCCTGTACCTTCTGCGATATAGATAGCTCCCCACTGTGGATCATGTCATTGATAAGCTCATGCTTAGAAGGTGCTAGGTTTGGCGCCATCTCAGTTCGACCACACGTGACTGATTGTTAAACTACGCCGTCGGAAGTGGTATGGAGGAGTCAGATATATTGGAGGTACAAGTGAATACATGGTTTAAAATACATTGTAATGCCCTGAAACGAGGAACGAGTGAAGGGGTTACTACCCTGCGCGAGCTGCCCGCAAAGTTTGGCTGCGTTGTCACTGTAAAATCGTCCCAAATTCTCGCCGCTGATTCGTCAATTTCCGCCGCCAAGACCTGCTCTATCCGTCGTAGCTGTTATGGTTCTAGGGTTCTAGGGCTTCATTCTACGCTTCTCTTTACGTTTCCCTTCTATGACTGGCCCGTCCTTGGTTGTAAAACTCTCTTCTTAGCTTAAGTTTAGCATTGCTGTTCACTTTCACGCTTACCGTCGCCGATTCGCTGACTTGTGAAATCCTCACTGGGCTTGGCTATCGCTGGTCCACGAGGCTCTATAGCTTCATCTGCACTGGTCGCAAGTTTACCTTTCGTACTTACCTCTCTTCTGCTCTATAGCTCTCTTCTTACCATAACCCACTACAAGTTGTTCCCACGCCTTGCTTCAATAACATGTGAGAGCACACGGAGTGCAGTCGGGCCTTTTGTTACAGTTACTTAGCTTTATAGTCTGATTCGATTGTTTGGGCTATTCATAATTCGAATAGAGCCAATCGGCTTCGGCTGCTGTCTTCCGTAACTTTAAGTGCGCTATGACGTGCAGCCATAGCTCCTCGCACTCCCGCTATACCCGATATATTCGACTATTACCTCACGAAAGAAAGAGATTCCCTAGCTTGGCTCTTCTGTGGGATTTTACTTCTATGTTTTATTCTGCCTAGTTTTAATATATGTCCCGCTCTTCAATCTTCTTGACTTTACGGATATGTTTTTGCATCTATGCTCGCCTAATCATCATATCCTACGCCGCACTTTACTACGTAACTTAGTATATATATAATTGGCTGTTCCTAATAGTTTGCAGTTTCTGTATGATTCCCTATAGGTGCACGTCTAGCACATACGACCATAGGGTGTGGAGAGCAGGGCTTCCCGTCCGCTCAGCCGTACTTAAGCCACTCGCCGGCTAGTTAGTAGTATGGTGGGTGACCACATGCGAATCCTAGCTGTTGTATGTTTTTCCTTTCCTTTTTGGAAGGTGTGAAAAATAAGAGCATTACTGTTTTGAGCGTTACGTAGGTGTGGCTTCGTCTTCATAACGGATGTCCTCGTGATCAATACTGCCACGATTCTCAGCGTCGTTTTTTCCACATATTTTTGTATCCATACTCGTCCAATCATCACACCCTACGCCGTACTTTGCTTCACAACTGGTATGCATATAATTGGCTGATTATAGGACATACGTGTGTACCTTTCCGGTGCCTTATCAAAACTAAACGTTCGACTTCCATGTTATCACTCAATTTACGATTCACTTTTCGTACTTGTTTCGTTTCAGGGCCACAGCGTGCGACAGCGCGCGTCACCAGTCTAAGTAAGACACAATACACGTCCACCAAGCAGGCATTTCGGAAAAAATTCTAATAAGGATTAGTGTGTTTTGGCATTAGGGTCGGAAAATCAATCGAAGAGTGTAGGTGGTCGCACCAGTTTCGGGACGGACTGTAGTACCGGACATTCTGAACTTTCCTCATGGACCCTCAGCCTCCAGATCCCAGGGCAGACAGGAAGCCTTTCCCACCTCTCCACCGACCGTCCTCTATCTCCAACTCCGCGACTCCCCCCACTCCACCCGAGCTATCTACCCCACAACGCACCACTCAAGAGAAATTCCTTATCTCGACCACCTATTCCACCATCGCGGCCAGAGCTCTGTCATTCCAAGGACAAGTGCTCAGCGGCGTCACCCCGCTACAGCTGGCCAAGAATGGCTTTCACTACCAGCCTTTCTCAAGTGGCGGCCTGGCTTGCTGCTTTGCGTGTCAGTCAGCCAAACGCCTAGATAGCCTCCAGCGCGCACCTTTCCAAGAGTTACAGCAACCACATAGAGCGGATTGCATATGGAAGGTCATCTCCTCTGACTTGAAACAACATCTCGACTCCACCGACACGCTCTCCTCTTCCACCGATACGCTCTCCTCTTCCACCGATATACCCCCTCTGCCTCACCAGCCAGTCCCTAGCCGCTTTTTTTCCTCGAAGAGCGAACAACACAAGAAGACGACTACCGACGCTAGTACCCAAACACAATCCAAACCAGCACAAACCGTCCTTTCCACAGCAGAGGAATGCTCTAATGACTCCCGTGCTCACCCGCGATCTACTACGACCGACCCAGAATCACGTTTACCTCCACCAACCCTCTCGCCTCAGCCTCCCCGTCCGTCACCAACCATCACTACCCTACCCCTAAGCCATCAACCAACCTATGCTTCGGTCCTCCGGCAGGCCACCACGAATTCACCACAATCGATTCCTAAAACCCAAGAACCTGTACCTTCCACTAGACCTATACTCACAATAGAAGATCTTCATCGCCGCTTTTACAACAAACCATCACCGTTCCAGCTCGAGTCCAAGGCAAGGAAACGCTCAGCTAGTCAAAGTCGCAACAAACCCGTATCCGCAACAAAGTCATTGTCCAAATTCCTGACTTCAGCATTGCCCGCATTCTCGCGCTTCCTAGCAGAGATGCAACCAAATCCGAACAATCGTCGGTCTCATTCGCAAAGTCATTATAATCCCGCCATGCGGGCAGCCTAACACCATCAACGGCTATGAGGCCACGGCAGGCCCCAACGAGGCTCCAAGTTCGTTTAAGAAGTGGTACACGACACATGTACGTACATTGATATATAGTTGTTGTATGCTGCATATCGTTCGCGAGAGGTCAGCGTAAATGAAATCATCCATCCATCCATACTGTAGTACCGTATACGACGAATGTATTATCCGCGTGATTGTCTGCTTGCTTCCCTGGTCAGTTTTTAACACTACAGATTGTTCCTAGTAAACGTCGTCTCAGAAGTCCTTATAAATGAGTGTAAACTCCTACTTGATATCGGTTATAGGATTCGTGTTAAGCCTCAAGGCAGACACAGTACGAGCTGGATAATTGTGATGTCAAATGTGGTTAGCGTATCTCTTACTCTTCCTGAGAGTGCCACTAGACCAAAATAGGCAAGGTGTTTGTTATCCCTCAGTCATCGCTATCTCCTGCCATTATTCCGCCGCACCGAAATTTCCACGTGATCTTCAAATATAATCATGCTTAATGTACCATCCATTGGATTCGACAATACCCGACTTACTATCTAATAGACCTTCTCGAAGAATGAATTAATTGGCTTAGGAGGCCCGCTTCGCAGTAACTAACTAGACGGGAGCCACCTTGTACCTTAGGCATCTCCAGATTGTCGATGCCCCGGGAATTGTACGGTAGCAGTATGGTGGTAGACATAAGATTTCTTCCTAATGGATATCGTTAGATGCATCAAGTCGGACTTGCACAATCCGGCTAGCCTCTCTCTTAGTGTAGTTTGGAGTGCCACTAGACCTAAATTGGTGATAGAGTATAGTACATACGTCATACCAGCTTAGCCCGCGTCATTTCAAGAGTTTCGAAGATGTCTGCCGGGGGCATGTTGTTCCTCTCCTTCAAAAGCCCTAATATACACACACATCTTCGACGGCACGTGTTCTGGGAAAGACACGTATATATTGAGGACGAATATTCACACATACGCATTTTGCTATCGGTGCAGTAAGGTATTCCTTGCAGAGTGACACATAAGTAGTTTTTGGAGGGTGATCTGGAGACAGCTAGCGTCCTACAGTAGAAGGTTCTAAATCCTTCAAGGTTCTTAAAAGATATCAATATTTCAGCAGCATGGGGTGGAAGATGACGGGTTCCAGACCTTTTAGCCGGGCCGACCCGTTCCGAACGGGCCCAATCCGATCTAATCCGACATAGACTGGCAGGGTCGAAATTTTTTCTTGCTGTAGACCTGGGGCATATCAGAGTATCAGGGGCTGCACGTGATCTAATGACTGGGTGGAGGGGTTTGCTACTTTCTAACCAATCTTATTATTTACTCTATGTCAAGTAAAGGTGTAACTATTTTTAAAAAGCAGCTTCCACTTTTCACAGCATCTGTTTCAACACCTGGGTTGTGGGAAGATTTGATTGCACTTTCGCCGCCCGCCATCGTTCTTCCTGCGTTGAACCTCCTGTTAAACCTGACGGCCTTTCTTGTCTCTTAGAACAGTGCTTTTTAACCAGATCAATATTTATGGCAACGGAAATTAATCAGATGGGCATAATACTTGTGGGATTCGTCAACATTGTCCCGCAGTAATCAACCATATGAATGTCTGTTTGACACACTGTACGTTTGGAGTTCTGTTAGTTGATTTGAACTGGTATATTCGTCATTGTGTTGAACCCTTACACAGAAGAGAACCGCACTGTTTGTAGTAGCACATGAATAAAAATTGTTACGATATGCCCCCCGTCAATTGGCCACGTTTGGTTATCGATGGTGGACGTAAACATTCCTAGAGAGCACAATTGTGTATTTTATCTACCCAGGTGGGCAGAAAAGAACAACAGCATTCCGTTGTGTTGGCTTTCGGAATTATACCAGACCAAAAAATGGCTGATTTCGTTACTGTTGATAGGTAAACTCTCTATTGGTGTCCTGCTGCCCCCACCGTTTGGGACGGCGATCCACTCCCCGAAATAGCCAATCCGGGCCATATGCTACCCGCACTTTTTGATGTCCCCCGACCTTCACCGTTTGGGGGCAACGGTCTAATCGTTGCAGCCTCGTTTTGGACCGTTCCCTACGATTCTAAAGATACCACAGGCATGTTTCTGGCAGTCTCTAGTTTACAGCGAACATTGCCGCACCAATTTCGTGCATGCCTTCAAAAATCCCCTGCTACTCTTCAGCCTATCATTTGAATGTTCTGTTCTCAGTTGAAGTTGAGGGGATCGGTCTTGACTTGCTGCCTCTCGGCGTTCAACAACCGTTGTATTTCCTTGCAGCACATTTTGTGTGTCGCGCAGAGGGCCATTTAAACTGAAACAGTATAGCAGTTTCCTACTTGCAGACCATCAGGTCATTCACCAAATCACTATAGCGCTAAACACGAATACTTGAGTTTGGTTTAATCATTTCACCGATTAGTTCAAAAAGATCGTTACTTCGCTCATTGCCCAACCCATCTGTGAAAGAGAGCTGCGACCCCCATATGGTGACGGCAGTTTTATGATGGCGGTTAACTTGCGGTTTCAGCCTTCGTTCATAACGTGAATCAACACAAGACCATGGTCCCTCCACGTAAAGAAAATCGTGGCTCTCTTTGTCTATCAAAATTCCAAAAAATTCAACTTTTCGCATTTGTATTTTAGCACCTGTTTTATTGAGATTCTCTTGTCAGTTAGCCTTTATAAGCGCCACCTTCAGCCTCTCGTCAGTTAAGGGCTGTCATTTCCTCCAAAGAAAAAGGCAACTTATAATGGCTGCCTTAAAAACTACCCGATCCAAAAATTCCTCGGCGAGAAAATTGAAGCGCCAAAAACAGTGTCGTCGCAAGACAAATATGATGAAGAAGGCATCTGAATATAGCAAGATGTGTAATGCAGATGTATGCGTAGGTATTCGCATGCGGGAGACTGGTCAGGTGTATATTTTGTCGGCCGATGCTTCAGGCTTTTGGGCTTTTCTTACTTCGCAATTGGTATGTAAACTGCATGGCGTCATCCATCAGGCGGAGCGCTAACGTGCCAGAGCTCTCATTACCCAACCCCGACTGTGATGACGGATCGTGATTTGGAGAAAAGCAGGGAGGAGGCAGCTTCTAGGAAGCAACGATAGGCCCTTTATAACGCAAGTGCTGTATACTGGAGTATGCAAGTGTATTACGGGCTAGCCCGTCTTGCAGTACGATTTTGCCCATAGACTTTCTTTGAAAAAACAGTTGTTGCTTTTCCTTTCATTCTTGTACTTGCTATGTCAAGAAGTATATCAGAGGCTGTGCCAAGCCAAATACCACAGTAGTCCACAATATCATTGGGAGCTTCATGAACAAAGCGGAAAGAAGCTCGAAGCTTGACCGGGAAGAGCCGCCAAATTGGGGCAGGGATATAGTTGCTTACGATCATCTCACGATAGCCTGGATGCAAGGAAGATGAGCCGCTTGCAATAAACTATATCACGTGTGATATACACTTTAGATTAACAAGATTAACAGCGGTTCAAGGCAGCGATATGGGTGCCTTAGAAATAAACGCGGTAACGCTGAACGAGGTGTTGCTTCTGGCATAAAGATTAGTCATCCTACTGGTGAAATCTAGTATCCTGAGAGTATAAAGCACCGGCGGTTTCTTGCAATAGTTGAAAAATATTTGATACCTTAGTCCTGACTGACAATGGAAATCACGATCTTTTACGCCATTGCAGCGGGGTGCTTACTGACAACACTCTTTCTCATTCGCATAGCACCTTCCTTTCTGAATCTACTCACAGTTTTGTCATTCCTGATTACGAAGCACTTAACATATCCATACTTGTGGGGTCGCCATAGGCTGATTGCTCCTTGCACTCGATCTGATGCCTTGTCGTATCTCGCGTACGCTGTAACAAATGTGTTTCTTGTTGCCTTCAAGACTCCATCAACAACAATTGCTAGAGACCGCGCCGGAACTCTTTCAGTGATCAATATGAGTTTCCTGTTCTTGGCACACCATCTGGGATTCCTTGCAAACGCCATGGGTGTTTCTTTGATGATGTGCAAGCGCATTCATCGGACTGTGGGCTGGATGACTGGCATTCTCCTCATGTTACATATCATCATGGCTATGATAACTGAGCAGAAGGGCTGGAATATTCGTGAGAAAGCCCAACTCTTCGGATTAATCGTACGTCATCACTCTCGCTCAACCTACCTTGCTAATCTTGTGATACTGATCTTTCTCAGGGTGCTGTGAATATGGCCGCAATTCTCTTATTATCCTTCCCTTTCGTTCGCCGTTTCCTCTACGAGCCATTCCTTCGACTACATCAAGCCCTGGCTACAGCCTGCATATATTTTGTATGGCGGCATTTGCCATCCGATACTCTGCTGCCCCGGCTGTATGTTTATATTCCGCTTGGCACAATGCTACTTGCATTATTGGTCGAACTTTCCCTTTTCATCTTTAGGAATGGCGTCTTCCCCCCACGTCCTTATTCTCGTGCCTCTATCAGATGTGACCGGGTGCAACAAGCACCAATACAGAGCATAGAGGCAACACCGCTGAAAGTAAGGATTGCTCTTACAAGGCCCCTACATGTCGAGGCAGGCCAATACATAAGTCTCTGGATACCCGCGGCAAGCCTATTCTCCTGGGCCCAGACACACCCGTTTATGGTGACATCTTGGTCGCCAGAAAAGCAGGATGTCCTAGAGCTTTTTGTTCAACCTCGAAGAGGGCTCACTGAGACTATTCATCATCGTACAGCCACGGATGGCTATACATCCTTGACAGCATTGGTTAGCGGGCCGTATGGAGTCAGCAAATCCGTAGACCATTACGAATGCGTCTTGGCAATTGCGACTGATTTCGGTATAGCAGGTGTCATATCTTATCTTAAGAAGCTCCTCTACGGGTATAACACTTGCACGTCACATGTGCGCCGGGTACATTTCGTGTGGGAGGTCCAAACATTAGGTAAGGCCGGCCTCCACGTTCAAAGAGCAAACCAATGATGCTGAATTTCTCAGATATTGCGGTTGCAGCCCAGCCACTTCTGAACAGCTTGTTAAGCGATGATGTCTTGGATGATGGCTATGTGGGTTGGCTCTTCCTGTCTAACCATACTCGCGCTGACGTGATACAGATACTCGAAATGTCTTTTTATGTGGTATCAAACCAGATGATAGAACATGGCAAGCCGTTCGGCCAGCATCGCCGCGCGACAGTTTTCAATGGAAAGCCTCGATTTGATGAAATTATATCAGAAGAGGCTTCCGGGCGAAACATAAAACGGCTGCCAAACACTCATGAAGATCGCGGTGAGGTTCTGGTTATGGGTAAGTCCATCAACTGAATCACAAACCAGACGCTAACTTCCTAGTATCCGCATCGCATGACGTACGAGATCGTATGAGAGAATTAGTTTCTAAACACCTCGAACAGAGGGTAAGGTTGCATGAGACGGAGTTTCAACCCTCGTAACGAGAAGGGCCGATCTGTCAAGTGAAAGGAGATGGGTCGGTGGGCCCAGCGAATGACCAATTTGCCACAGATTAATAGAATTAAATAGAATACACCGCCCTCCAGAAACAAACAGCTCTTTTCACTGTTGAACCATTGCACCTGATCTGTTCTTCACCGTCACCGTAAACCGGTTCATCAGTATTCCCCGGTCCAAGGAACAGCGTATACTCTATCTATGCTTTTGTGATCAGCTCTTGTTTATCCAAGTCATGACACACTTGACAATTTGTAAACAGGGTGTACTCCATTTCCCGATCGGCTTCTGGTTCAATTCCGGTTGACCTCACGGTTTCTCAGAAAGCGATTACGTTCTAACCATGACTTTGCTGTTGTGTCGACGAGGATTTTCATTGGGGCATGGCGACCGGAAAGATCTACTTCAACGATCCCTTTTTTTGGCGGGTTGGGTGAACCGTGGCCATGTGAGAAAATTCGTGGCCAAATGATTTGATTAATTGCCGTTCTGGTTGCGACCCCAAAAAGGTGTCGCAACCAAAACGGCTCGCAGTTGTCACCTTTCAAGATGCGCTTTTTGGGGACGCTTGAAATCCCTGTGTGCCATTGTTTATTTTATTTTCTGGCCATTCGCTTTCTTTATTTGCCCAGCTATCCCGTATTCAGTGTCTGTTCCTCTTCACACTTTACTTGACAGAACACGAGGCAATTCTCCTGCTATTTAGACGTTCCTTCTTGAAGCACCGTTGCGAGAAGTTGGCCAGTAATTTCTTATTGTCGCTGACCGGCACTAATGGTATCATCTGAGCCAAACACTCTAGTCTCTGACAGCGCCCATGGACCCGATATTTCTGATAATGACCCTGTTGATTGGGATGCATGGCTCACATCAGAGGCACTCGACAATGAAGAATATCTGGCTACCTCACAATGCAGCTTTATCAACATGGAAGACTGTACTGAGCGTCAGCCTTTACTGAAACATGCCCCTCAGCTTCATTCTAAACTGCCAGAAATCTCTCTGCTATCAGATGGGAGTTTAATGTTGACGCAGTCCACAGACAGCAACAAAGAGACAACGACAACAGGTCTCCGAACGTCAAGTCTAGGCGCATATTCTTCTCCGAAAAGTGAAAACACAGAAATGCAACCCCTCATGATCAACGAAAAAGAACAACTCAAGTGTTCAAAGTCCAGTGAAGATCATTCTAGTGCTTTCGGCCTTGAGAATCGGCACCAGAGAAGAGTCCTCACTTCACCAGATCTCAAGTTTCTGGAAACACAAGAGACCGGAAGAGGAAGCTTTCACAAATACAAGCCAGTCGATAACCGGACCCAGGCAGTTGAGTACGTTGACTGCATTCAAACAATATGTCAGATTGCAACTGGCGAGACAATGAGCGAGAAACAAGCTCGAGACGTCGAAGACTGCGGGGAGAGTCTGATCACAATTATACAATCCGACAGCCCGATTGCCGCATTTAAGCCTCTTTTAGTCAACTGTCACCTGCATACCTTACCTAGTGTTGACATGTATGGCTTGAATTCGTCCCTGACGGCATGCGTGGCATATCTGAGGTACTTGAACTCGGTCACTGGTTCAGTTTCGAAGTCAGACGATGTGAATCGCCGCCTTGCCCAGATTTGGATCCATATTCATTTCGAAAATCATGTCAATGATTTGAAGGAAAGTGAGAAAAACGGTCTTCCGCTTAACCGACAACGTCGGGCAATTCCCACGATAGCCAGAGATTCTATCTTACAGGCTTTTCATGGGAGCCCATTCGTGCCGCAAAAAAAAGATCGCGACTTTTTGAGCGATCAATGCCGCTGGGGCGAGCGTTGGTGGAAAGTTGCTACCTGCATGGGACTTGGTGTGATTTTACTAGCTAGTGAAGACTTGGCAAATCAAATGTATGCTCATTTACACTCTACGGAATGTTGTATTGCTGACTTTGAAATAGAGGCAGAAGAACAGCTTTTCAGAATAAAATGGTAGACACGTTGGCCATTTATGTTCTCAATCGCTACCCAGCTCTGACCAGTCTTTATCGATCGTTTGAGTCTATGGCAGTAGGCCTCATGCTTGGAGGTGATAATGTCTTTTCCCAGGACCAGCTAAACATCTTCCTCGAGGCGCTCGTGGAGGATGAAGCAAACTCATGCAAGCTAGAAAGATGGGTGGTTCCAAACCTCAAATCTCTATCTAGACTTGCTGCTTCCCACCTAATCTTTCTGCAGAGATTCTAACGCTACAGTCAGTTCCAGCAGGTGTTGCATCAAATATATTATCTTCACGATGCCACCATCTTTTCTCCTCTGGCTTTTAGACCGTAGGGAACCGTGCCCCAGAGGGTGGGGCCTTTTCCGAGTAGCGATTGCTGACTTAGAATTATTTCCAAATGACCCTTTCAGCTACAGTGGTGACCGTTATTGCCCTCCATATCAGGCAACATAGAGTTACTCTTTCAAACCGTATCACCTGATATGTTATCCTAGTATGGATTTTGCGTAAACCACCGATTGTGTATATACGAATATCGTAGTAATACCTGGTATTGTACCTAGCTGTATGGATACAAGGCTCTAGACAGAAGGCTCCATGCAACCGGAGCAAACAGGCGACTGTTGGCAATCTGTCAACTTCCCTCCATCTCTCAGTTGCTTCACTGCAGAGGGTGTGGCGCTCCCATACTCTCCCCTATTCTTTAGACACAAATCATTGACTTTTTAGGCCACATCATTGACTGCGAATTATCGTAAATTCTCTGATGACTTCAAATTCGGTTGAATGAAACGTACCAAGTTCAGTTGGGATTCCGCAGTTCTTACTCGCAATACAGCGTTCGCGGTCCTGTTAATCTTGTTAATATTGTCACACGTGGTCGAGATAATGCGTTTCCCACTACAACGTACGCCTCGGACTAAACACGGCGCCACGCATTTGACTTTTCCAACGAGACCGCGCGGCAGGGCCGTTGCATTGACTGCTTGCACGGCAGTAAGAAACGCGGCAATAATAATTGTAAATCTCATGTTGACTCAGTTCGGTTGAAAGAAATTCTTCGAATGACACATGAAAAACAATATCATGCTGATAATAGGCCACCTTTATATATTGCTAGTAAGAAAATCACTTCCTAATTTCTGCTATTTTAACTCGTCGCTTATACCCTGTTTCAATTATTTGGAGGACTATTGAATTCAAAAATCAATAAGGTCTTATACGTAGTCTTGTGACCAATCACAAGTCTCAGCTTACTGGAGTAGACATTTCCAAGTTGTCCTAATAAATTCGTTTCATCTCTAGACCATCTCTTCGACGTATAGGCCAGGCTTTTCGGCGAGGTGGTCACAGAGGGCGTCAAGCATAATCGGGGCGATATTTGGTCGTCGACCGACCGAGACTGGGGGAGATCTGGACCGCAAGTTCTTGCGTATGTTAGTGATAGAACGCGAAAAAGCAATATGGCGAGGTCTAATTGGAGGATTCTGGTCGGCTGTGGCCTCCCGTCGGGCCGGTCATGAGTCTATCACGTAGCCACCATGAGTCAATCACGCAGCATATATGAAGTCCATCACAACCATCATGGATCCCTTATGCGGCAGTTACGTCTCACTTCTAGGAATGGGGCCTAATTCCCATCTCAATTTCCCAGACGAGATTCTGAGCCCACGATCTCCGTCACTCATAACTGTACTGTGATATTCTGAATAGCTAGGATCTAGCCGCCGTTTTAGAACCTATAGTAACAAATATAGCACTGGTAGGTTCTTATTTTATGCAGTGCTCAAGATTGGAGCTTTAACAAGAGCTCTTTGCCACACGAACTGTCACGTTTGGATGTCTATTGAGGCCTATAATAGATCATATTTGTCTGGATATACGCGGGATGCATTTACTGACAACTTTTTCGACATGATTGAAGGCTACGGGCATATGATGGATCCTTTGAAAACCATGAGCAAGCCAATACTCACAGTTCCCTGAGAGGGATTGTTTCCAACTACCTCTCGTATGAATAGAACATCCTTGCAGAGACTAAAATAGACCGAGCAAGAAGCATCAACTCTCCTACCAATCGACCTTTTTCGCGGACAAGCGGTTGCTGACAAATGTTAGTTGCATATTGATCCCCTCTTGACATGGTGACTTGGGTACCTTTTTCAAGGATTCAATGGACTTTGCTGTCGAGAGGGCGGAAAGAAAACCAACGCGTCCGAGTCGACAGGCCAACGATCCACGTCATCTACTCCCACCATTCCATCATCTTTCACATACTTCTGCATGACTTCCATGGTAAGGGAAGCGAGTGTTTTGATGTATACATTCTGTGCCTGACCCGGCTGACATTCTACGCACATCTCCAAGCTGGCTATAGAGAGTCAGGAGAATCATTAAAAGGAGGCGTCTGCCACTTACCGATCTTGATAAGACCATCTAGGTCGAGAAGAATATTCCGGCATCTCAGAGACTGATGTTCTAATCCGGCTTCATTGAGGTAACATAAACCATTCAAAATCTGCACTGTCATGAGCTTAATATAGCCGAAATGTCAAGAGCCACATACCTGCCAAATTATGGAAGCTAATTCCGCCTCCGTGGGATAAAGAGACCGACACCCCACAAGTTGCTCCAAAGTAAGCTGGAGGTCGTTAACGAGAGCGTACATGTATCCTTCATTGACAAAGCACTCTCGGGCGGTCAATATATTATCGTGATCAAGGATATCATACAGTCGTTGCATTTTAGCTACGTCCCCTTTGGTGTACTCCCGAATGGCTACCACCTGGAACGGACGGGAACGACGAGCTGCAATGAACACCTCGCCCGCCAGGTTACACTTGAGTGTCCGACGATAAGTGTCCCAGGGTGATTCTTCCCTCACGACCAGCCGGCGAGATGTACCACTCTCGCACACCTGAGGTAAGCCGAATCTTTTTGGGCTTCCACTCACAACCTTTCGTGTATGTTCGCTCCGGGGAGAAGTCTTTCTCTTTTTTGAGTTGGAACTACCGTCCAAGTGAGTGGGTGCATCAAGCTGGTGTGGCTGTTCGCCCAAGGGTGACTCTCGTGATGGGTTATTCGCAAACTGTTCTTTGTATCTCACGAAGTCAACCGCCGTGCAGTGCTTATCTTGTGTCGACATATTGGGTTAGATCAATATGGTCGGAAAGAAAAATGAGTTAGAAGGATGTAGTGTTCGAATGCGAAGATGGTCCTATTTATAATGCAATTATATCGATAGATGGAACTAAATATATTTTGGGGAACAGCTCCGACTTCTTGCAACCACATTGGTCACCAGGACGCTGACTCAGCTAGGTGGACCCTTCCTTATGTGAGGCCAAAACCAGTTAAATATAAACAACCGATGCTCTCCCGCTACGTAGATTCTGCTTCATCAAAAACCATGGACGAGCCTATGTACACAGACCCCGAGCTGCAGATTCTGACAGAAAGGCGTCGAACATACCAAGGAACAGCCAGAGTTAACATCAGCCAGATTAACCCCCACCCATCTGTCTCGCAGCATATGAACACGAAGAACGTGGAAAGACTCTGTCAGATATTTGACAAAGAAGGTTGTCGAAGACTCGATATCTACAACCACGTGAGCGCTGTTGTGTCGCGACAGCATCTCCATGAGGCTCTTCAAGCAGGACGAGTAAACGCCGCTGACTTGATGACTGACCAACCGAGTCGCTACCCACACCTCCATTTCCCCACTGGTTCCATACAGTGCCTTCATGGACAACATCGATTAAAGGCTGGAGAACACTGCTTACCACTGATCGACCAATGGTGGACTGTTGACTTGTACTTGGAGGGTAAGCCAGAAATTCACCACTTGCTTTCCCACAGTTTTGACAGCCCCAAGACATTAGTCCCGGCCTTCAAACAAGCCTCATTGATGAGTATTCCAACGAGAGAGTCCCAAGCGATGGTGAGATTTACATAAAAGTTCGACAATATCGAAACGAAGCAAACGCACACTTCGAGAATCGATGGTTGGCTCGGCTGTCAAACAACAAAGCCAGGCGGCTCCGCGGACTTGAGTCTCATCCGAGCGTCCGAGCTGCTTTTGATTCGTTACTCGTCTTGCCCTCCTTGATGATACATGGAATGCAAATCGGATCTCTTCCGCAGGCTCTGGCTATTTGTTGCGACGAGGTAAAATCATCTGTCGGACTCCAACGTAAAGAGATGCTGACTACGATTGTAGGAGATAGTTCACGCGCTAACTAGGTTACTGCAATATTGGTCTTCACTCGTGGAACACAATCGTACTAAGATGCTCAAAGTTGACCCTCATACAGTAGAGATATTGCAACTCCTGGCGCCTGGAGTCTCCTCGAAGGATAGAATCACCGTGAAAGGCCTTGTACACAGTGGCGGAGTCTTTTCAAACTTCGCACAATCCGAACGTGCCTCGATTTGGAAGCGACTGAAGAAGACGGAAGGCATAATTCCATCTCTGTATACGTTCTTCAAAGATCTACGGTACCTAGAATCATGCGCGAACTGCATCAAACGACTTATCACTCCTTCCAGATCTTTCCCAACGATCAAAATCGCCATGCGCGCGGCATTCGTGTCCTCCGATCCCACCTACGCGCAGTTCTTGATACAGACATCCGAATCTGAGTTTCGGTCTTATTCGGACTCCCAGGGGGACCCAGCAGAACTTGGATATCGACAACTCTGGCTCTATGCTATGCGACATTACCCAAGCTTATTCCAAAAGCCGCCGAGGAAAGACGGGAAAGACCCTATGGCGAAGCCTAATCGTGAGGTGGTGGAGCCTATGATACTGTATGACATGGCAGTGCTCGCAAAGAGACTTGGGTTTCACTCGCCACAAATTGAACAGCTCATCCAGCAGTCGCCAGATCGGCAAATCGCGCAAGATGCTCTTTTGAAAGCCCGGCGACCAGATCGTTATCAGTATAACAAGGAAGAAATCGAGTCACTGATCAACAAAGTCACCGAGTGCTTCTTGAGGGCCGTCCCTCTCGACCAGAAGCTTCCGGTGCAGTTCGTTGGTGGAGGAGAACTCAAGAAAGAATCTCGATGTGGATATCCCCAAGCCGAAGCCCAATTACGAGATTGTCAATTCCTTTTCATTGATCAGCTCCATGGTGATTCACTCCAAAGGGAACGAAAAGCCACCTCCACTTTGGTGAGGAGGAGTGTCTATTTTACCTTTTTCAGCAAGATGCCAATGCCCCGTGTGAATAACGACACG